GGAATCTCTGCAAATCCCACCTAAACCCAACTTCAATTTACAGCCAAGAGAAGCAGTAAATCCTTCAACTTTTGAGATATCAATCTCTTCCTTTGATGCTCATGAAGTTAAGCTATGACCCATTAAAACTTCCTGGGATCATGTCCTGTGGTGATTGGAAGCTCCTAGTGACCAAGTATAGAAGCAGTTATCTCGGTTGTTGGTGCTATAGCAATTTGTATGTTGAATCTTGTCTCAATGTTAAATTTCACATTTGTGTAAAACCAGAGTAATTAAAGACATTCATATACCTTTACTTTGTCTAGTCATTGTTAATACCTAGTACTTAAATAAGATAAGGTGTTGCATAGCATTTATTCGTTGTGCTTGATCTCCTCTTTCTTCTAGGAGATCAATCTTGGCTTTCACGTGCTTAAAGTTTATTTCTTTTATATTGATCTCGATTATGGGCCGCATTCGAATTCCCAGGCCACCATGACTTCCACCCTGGAGTTAAAGAAAATAAAGTTCCTCCATGGAAAACCTCGTAGGTTTCTGGCTACAGAATGAGGCTCTCCATGGTTCCATCAGCGGTGCAACATCTGATATTCTTTCTACTTTATAGTTTTGGAAGAGATACAAGCAACCCTTCAGAATAAATGGGAGTCATTAACTGCGAGTTTCTCCTTTGGTGTTTTGCGAGCCTTCTAACCAATGAACAGCACAAGGAAGAACCAGTCCACCTCCCTCGACCAGGAAATTGACTTGGCCTCAATATCTTTTACCACATTTCTACCATCCTTGCAACGGTGGTGATGGAGAAGGCCACGTATATAAGTGCGAAACAGATTTAGGGGACCCTTTCTGTGAAACAGAGAAACATGAAAAAATTGTAGTACACCTTTTTCTCCTACATGGCAAAAATAAGCAACGAGTGAACGTAGTTCTCATATTAAATATGTAACTATAAAATTTTTGTGTTTTCTAGTCTATATTTCTTATTTCAGTTTGCTTATTATTGCTCTCATAATTAGTATTTGGGCTTAATTCCCAACAGATGGTCCAAATAAATATCAAGGGAGAGTTTTCCTGCTATTTTTCTATCCAATTTTGTTACTTCTCTCTCTTGATTCATTTACGAGCAATTTTATCAATATCATCCATAGTCTTCTGCCTGGTGTATGTGCTGCAACAGCTGAGTCTGTTATCCCCATCTACCATATGTTGTCTCTTTGAAGCTTATTTTTCAACTTAATTGTAGGCTGGGTAACGGTGATTCCAACGGACAAACATGTGGCCATTTTGCTTGCACCAATTGCCAGGCTGACCTCGCTCCAAATGAAGGAATATCAGTTCACGCTGGTTCCATCTTGTCTATGAGCTCAACTCCTTGGCAATGTCCTTTCCTTTGTACTGACTGCCATGATAAGAGGGATGGATGCAATGGAAGGAAAACGGAGAAGTTTAAAGTAGCATAGTACTTTTTCATATTTTCTAATTTTATTTTATTTTTGTTGACATTCTTTCTCATTGATCCCCATTATTTTTAGTCAGAAATATTTGGTCATTGGTTGATGTATATCAGATCAAAATATAATTCTAGTGAGCGTTGAGCAAGAACATGCTTAGATACAACTTGACAAATGTGAAATCTCCCTTTGGATTGATTTTTATAATAATGGAGGCTTGGTGATGCACTCTAATGCTTTCAACACATTTTCTCACTTCTGTGTCCATTCAAACTTGTTTCCTCCATCTTCATTGTTCTTTCTTGTGCATGCGCGGCTGAAATGCCACCCAGTCTTTTAAAGATTGCCTCTAGTACAATGGTCATGTCATTATGGACAACCAGGTTCTTTGGACAAGCTGGCTCTGGATATTGAGCTTGTTCATATTTGTAGTTGAAGGAATTGAAGCTTTTCTCTAAAACTCCAAACCAAGGTTGTCTATTTCAATCTACAGTATAAAGAAAAGTGGCCTGCAAAAGAAATGTTGAATAGATGGCTAATGTACTCTAAATTCAGCTTTTGTGAATTTTCCAGCTTTTATGTAGAAAAGGAAGAATTCTATCATTACACGGGGTGTGTAGAAATATCAAATATATGAACTGACTTTCCTTCCTCTTCAACTGGTTTTCCATTTTTCTCTGTTCTTCATTAGCTCGTTTTGCTTTTTTTTTTCTTCGACTTTTTTGCATATTTCTCTGTTCTTTTCATCAGCAAAAACTAACAGTAGCTATGCTGGCAACCATGACCCTACGGCAACTCATGCAAAGGTAAGAGGCTCCCAGTGCAGTTATCTAAAAACAGAAACAAGAATAATTAAAATCACTTATTTTGCCAAATACAAAGTGACTTTTAAACTAATAGAACTTACAACATGATGTTATGCTACATGTGCAGAAATTGCTACAGAATTCCATTTGGCCCATTATCATTGATTTTTCTCAAAAATCACAAAAAAAAAAGCACTATACCCGTACTCAGGGAATAATTCTTAAGTCAGTACCTTCTGACAATCATTTTCAGTAAGTCTTGATGAAAAGAATTCCAAGTCAACTGCTGCGTTTCACCATGATGATGCAACTAATTTTCAAATAGAATTGAAACAGAGCTAGAAAATTTGATCTCTCTCATCTTCTTCTTCATTTTGTTAATCATGATTTCTTCAAGAGAGCTCTGTAGGGATGCTGCCAGTTTTTTTATTCATTTCTCTGTGTTTCTTCAAGTATTTTTCCTTAAACTTTGTGTACTCTAAATGCCCAAAAAGTTTCCTGTGTGGACATCTTGCCAATTTGTGTAAATATGTAGTTCGACCTTAACAACACCTAGAGGGGGGTGAATAGGTGATAATGCGGAATTAAAAATTATTGAACAATTAAATAATAACAAGTCACTATTAATTATTTTCTAGATAGTTCAGTATGCAATTCAGTTATTCCTATGTTGAAATATCGCAGTTAAGTAAGCAATAAACGAACACAAGAATTGATCACGGAGAAACCCAACTGGGTAAAAACTCTGGGCACTTTGCTAGTCAGCAATCCACTATAAACGATTTATAACTTACAGTCTACCAGACTAGACGACGACACGTACTATCTGATCTCCTGACTGCAATTCCAACATCTCTCCTGGATTCCGTGCTCCTGCACCAACTCCCAGCTGCAGTTTTCAAAGCTCTCCTGGATTGTGCTCTCCCGGATTGTGCTCTCCCGTAGCAACTCCCAATTTTGTGAAATCGTCTATCTCCTGTGGATGCACGAAGAACATCGTGTTCTTCAACAACTGGAACTCCAGTCACCTTCCGTTGATTTTCAGAAACTCTGACAAATATGAATGAAGCAGCAGTTTGATATTTGGATTATGAATATGATGTTTTTCTCATCAAAAGTCAATAACATGACGAAGGTTGAAAGCACAATATATGAAGATGATCTCAATGGAATGTGTTTCTCTCAATAATCAACCTTGTAAAATCGTTCTGTAATGTTTGGACATTTATATGTAGGTTAGGGAATGAATGGGCAAGACAAAAAGTCTTCAAAAAAGGAAATAAATATTTCCTTAATGACACTGTCGCTCGAGCGAAGGTTCAGTGATAGTCGAGCGACAGGTTATCGCTCGAGTGAAGGTGAGCGACAGTCAAGCGATGAAGTTTTTGTTTCTGACGCTCGAACCAAACATTGGTGAAAAGCTAGCGTAATTCAGCCCCATTTTTCCTTCTTTCCCATTCTCGAACCCTAAACTTAAAATATCATAACTTCCACTAATTGCACACTAATCCTTAACTTTTTACAACATATCAACTTTAGTCTTTTTTGTTCACAGATTTGTCAATTACATTAATTACCTAATAAGCTCCCCCTTTGACATTCTGTGACAAAATTACAATCTAAGTCAAGACAGTAGTAAATTAAAATTACAGACTCAAATCAACTGACACAATCAACAACTGTCTTGAACGAATTCTGTATTTCATTTTCAATACCTATTTCTTGAAATAGTCAACTCAAATACTCAGTGTAAAATGTATATGAAACAGTATTAAGTGTAAAAATAGTTCAAGCAGTTCAGTGTAAAAGTGATTTAAGCAGTTAATAAGTCATAATGCAACTTTTCAGTTTCATATCATATGCTAAATTAAGATGTAATATCACTGCAATCCAACATACCAAAACGAAATATTGATACTACTAAAACATCAAAACTTAATCTAGCAAAAACTGAAAAT